GTTCAGCCGGCTGTCAACCAACACCCCCAGGTCCTTTTCCGACAGGCAGCTTTCCAGCCACTCTTCCCCAAGCCTGTAGCGCTGCATGGGGTTGTTAATACAATATCTATGAATCATAGAATCACATAGAAGTGTCTAAACAGCTCCAAAAAAAGCAAACAAACAAACAAAAAGCAATAAACTTTATGAAATAAAAAGAAAATTTGTTCAAGGATGGATTGAAGTTGGGTCAGCATTTGGTTTATTCAAGGCAGCTTGTATCTCTCTCATAGATATATATATATATGAAAAGTGTGTGTATTTATATAATATCCTCTTCCCTCTGCACTACTTCATCTGTTCCCTTGTATGAATATTACACCTTAGCAACTTTCTGCACAACCTCCCTTGATGTTATCTGTCAGCTTTCCTTCCCTGAGAGGTAGATGGCAGATCCCATCTTGAAGGACAGGGACTGATGACCCTCAGGAGACTCTCTCTGGTTGCGTGTAGGCTGGTGCAGCCATTCCCAGCTGCTGACTGCAATAAATACTGCTTATGTAAAACAGGTTGGTGTGCTGTTTCTCTCTGTTCCTCTGCACAACCTTTGTCTGCGGTTAGGGATGCCCAGAAGATAAAGCCTGCTCCTATGAACCCTGAAGAGCAGGATCCAGGCGTGTGAGGCTTCCTTCTCTCCTCCTGTGCCCCAGTGTGAATCAGAAGTGACTACATCGAAATCCAGGTCACGATCCTGGTACACCGTGACAGTGAGGGAGAGGAGGGCCAGGCTTTGCCCGATTCACCATCTACCGAGTTCAGCATTTCTCTGAAAGACCTTGCCCTGAAGTAAGGACACGGGATAAGTCCACAGAGATGGCTGCCAGTGTGAGTGTGAACATCTCTTGTTTGGCAAGCTGCTATGACTTGCACTAGCTTATGCTGACCTTGGCCGAGGATAAAACAGCTAATAAGTACCTCTGCTTGTCTTGGTCAAACACCTGGGACTGGTTCCTCTATTGGCATAAACAGACGGGGCTTCACTGCTCACAGCAAAATTCTCCTCTGGATGCCATCTAGTAAAAATGAAAAAAGTGTGCATTGAAAGCAGCGAAAATTTTGCTGGGAAAAACTCTAGAGAGATTAGTGAAATCCTAATATCTGCTGTACTAACAAGTTAGGGGTTTTGCTGTTGTTGTATGGTTTTGTTTGCTAAAAAAGAAAATCAAGCTTCCTGTCTATATTTGCATCATTCTGTTAGTTCTGTATTTTTCTCTCCCTTTCAGTAAACGTTTTTTCTGGAAAGTTACACACAAAGGCCTTGATCATGTCATCTGCTCCGTGTCACCAGAACTCTATATGGGCTGAAGTCATTACGGCCTTTGGGGAGCTGAGTGCACAAATCAGATTACAAATTTACTGCTGGAATGGAGCTCGATTTTCACCTGACCAATACAGCTTTAAGTGCCACTACAAATCCTCTGCTGCCATCTTATGGCCATTGTATTTATCGCCATGCGATAAATCGTAGACTACGTTGCTTTTGAAGCATTTGGAAATGTAAATCCAGTGGGCTTACTTCCTCATTCATTTCATACTACAACATACATTAAGAGGCCAGAAGGGAAAAATAGGCAAGGGATATAATCTGCAACTGGATTATATGCAACTGAATTGACATTCTAGTGGGGCTGTTTATCCTGATTGTCAAGTTCCTGCTGGAGCCTGTCACAGTTTAGCTCCTTTTTATCTCTACATGAACAGGAGAGGAGATGCTTCTGAATAAATTCACAACCCCTTCTCTGGACTCACTTTTTGTAGTCGAAGAACTGCTTTCTGAAATCAAGGCCAAGATAATAGAACAATTCCAAGAAGGAGAAGTAGATAGGCTGCATTTATCACTTTGCACCATTCTTTGTGTCACCATCTCGTATCACCAGTGGCTACAGACACTGTCAGCAGCATCATCTGGTGCAGTGTTATAGATCACTTTGAAAGCAACCCAGTATGAGACCTTTATATCATCTCTCACCTTATTTCAGTAATATTTGGCAAATGCTCTCTGTCCACAGAATCCAAGCAGCTGCACAAATGTCTCTTTTCTCAGGGAATCACACCATGTCTGCAGGTGCCCTCCTCACCCAGCCTATCACTAGCAGGCAATGGAAAATGGGTTTCACTTCTCTCTAGTCAGAATGAGGCCCTGACTCCTCCTTTTGGCTCTTTTTCTGTGCAGAAGAGTTATCAGAGGCCATGGGGCTTCGCAGGTGAGTAACTCACTGCTGTTATTTGGAAGGGTGACTGGAAAGAGTGGTTAAACATTGGAACAGGCTGCCCAGGGAAGTGGTTGAGTCACCATCCCTGGAAGTATTGAAAAGATATGTATATCAGGTGCTTAGGGACATGGTTTAGTGGGCATGGTGGTGTTGGGATGACGGTTGGACTCGATGATCTTAGAGGTCTTTTCCAACCTTAATGATTCTATGATTCTATTCTATGAAAGCAGCTACTAGAGAGGGCTTAGTCTCAGTATAGAATCTGTATTTATGCACTCATTTCAAGTGTACCCAATATAAACAGTTCAACAAGGTGCCACTCTGCAGTGGTGTAAGGATAAGATTGGCAGCACGTTATTAGAAACCAGGGGGAGCTAAGGAGGAGAAGGACAGTTACGTTATCTGTGCTTCCAGATGGGATCCCAACCTACCCTGCATTTCTGTGTTGGCTTTATCAGAGCTCTGCACTTCTTTAAAAGGCCATTTTAAGCTCTTGACCAGGGAGTGCTCTCCACCTCATCCTGACACATCGCTCCTCAGGAGAGAACTGCCTTAGGCTTCTCCAAGCCAGAGTCTTCTTCCTTTTTGCAAGAACACCACCACCAGATACCTTGGAATTAAGAGAACTATCAAGGTGAAGAACATCTACACCAGCTGGAGTTGGCGCAATCAGTTCCTTCCTTATGGATTGTGGGCACACTTCTACCAGTAAATTGTCTGTTTGGTTTGATTAACAACCTCTGAATTGCTGTAAGAATCTGTTGAATGATCTTTGGTTGAAGAATCGTCACCAAAACCTGAGTGCAAATTATAAACTGCAGAATTTTCCAGTTCAAGAAAAAAGGGAAAGAAACAGATGTAAATGACCTCTGCTTGAGCTGAATGTTCTTTACAGTGTCTTGGGTGGACTCTAGGATGCCAGTGCTGCTGGCCAGCCTTTTGTTGCTGATCTCCTTGCAAAGGCTGGTAAGAGGGGATAAACATTGTTCTTTATTTGAAATGGTGAAATTGCTCATCCTACTGAAAGAAACTTTTTTTTTGTTTTTGTTTTTTTCATTTGAAACATGTTCTTTAAGGGGCTCTGGGTTCAGCTTAAACTCTTCTGCTTTCAGTTGCTCTGTTCCATTTCTTACTTGTCCTAATTCCTTTTAACTACTTGGTTGGAAATTTCCTCTCCTTTGGGGCCAGATGGTTTCCCAGGGTGTGTTTGTGGGTAGTTCTCGTGGAATTGTTCCTCTTATTTTCCAGCCTGTCTTAGTTGAGGCTCTGACAAAAGCAGTGTGTTGTTGGATAGGACAGTGACAATATTGCTCTATTATTTGTGACTGCCTTTTAGCTTTCTCTCAAAGCAATTCTGGTATCATGGAGAAAGAAACTGAATCCCTGTATAGTTTATGGGCCAGTATAACTTCAGAGGCTAATAAAGGTATCAATTTAGTTATGTGTCTAGGTTGAATATTTGAGATGGAGTGAATATCTACTTGTAGAATTCAACTAACTATCAACTGACTACAATACTTGACTAGTCTACTAGGAGATCAAAAAGCAAAAAGAACAATGTCATAACTCACACCATTTCTTAGGTCTTATTACACAAGGTTTTTATTAATTAGAAATGCTAGAAACAGATAATTAATGTGCCATTTCATAGACAGGATATATTAGAAGTTATTTTCCTGTTATAGCACCCATTTGTGTAAATTCTTACTCCTGTGTTTAATATTTCCTGTTATAGCACCCATTTGTGTAAATCCTTACTCCTGTGTTTATTTACATGACAAGTCCAGCTGGCCTCACTAAGGCAAACTGGGTGAATGAAAGTTTTGGCACAGTGCTACTATATTATACTACTGAACATCATTCTCTGGAGCCAAAACATGTCCAAGAGGTATGACAAGACAGGAAGAAGAAATTCACCCCTAAGATGTGTTCAGGCTGCACTGCCCCAAGCACATTGTTTTACTTATTCTTTCTCTCTTCAAAACCACTTACTAATCATGAGCAGAATATTGAAATAAATGGACCATAGGTCTGGCCTGCAGGCTCTATACCCTCACCCTCTAAAAGGCAAACTCTTCTGAAGTTTTTAATCCACATAAAATAAGAATTCCGGCATCCTGGCTGGCATTTGTCTGAGGTGGGGCTTGCACAATAACCTCAGGTTGCTCAGGAAGGTCTTGTCAAAGATGCCTACCTGCTGTGCTTGCTCTGCCAATAATGACAAAGAAGCAAGAAGCCAGTAGGTAAAAACCTGGCTTGCATCCATAGAGATACACAAAAAGTTCACTCTTCTGATGCTTTTATGAACACTTCGTTTGCTTTTATGTTGCAGGCTGTGTCCCACCTCATGATGGATATGGCTCTGCATTCCTTTGATGACCAGTATTTGGGGTGCAGAGAGCAGGTGATGGAAGAACTCGAGCGAGGAGACTATTTCGAAAAGGAAATAGCTGCTAACAAGGACTATTTGAGTCTCTGGAAGAAGGCTCAGGAGGCTTTGTTGAAGAGCCCTGTAGGTCTCCTGAGGGAGATGCAAGAGAGCCATGCCATAGTCCTCATGGCTTACACCATGAACTCTTCTCTCCACTCTCAGCTGAACTGGGCCACATCTACAGCAGGAAGCTCTCCAGAGCACTACAGACACAACTTCAGTTTCAAATATTTTCACTTTTACCTAACGACTGCTATCCAGATAATGAAGCAATGGCAGAGCAGCAAGGAGAGCATGGGCAAACATAAGTGCTACCGGGTGCACAGGGGTGTAAAAAACTTATATATTGAGGCCATGGTAGGCAGCAGGGTGAGATTTGGCCGTTTCACCTCCACCTCCCGCCTCTTGAATGAAGCCCAGAAGTTTGGGAATGAAACTTTGTTCACAGTGACCACCTGCCTGGGAGCAGCTGTGCAAGGCTTTTCTTACTATACATCGGAGAAGGAAGTCCTCATTCCCCCTTATGAGATATTCTTTGTCAAAAGCTTCTTTCGGACACAGCACGGTAACCGGCTGCATCTGCATTCTGTGGGGAACTACAGCAAGTACCACTGCCAGCTCGTGAAAGGTATTGTATATAGCCCTTCATGCAGGGGGGACATAGGACAGTCCAGTCTCAAGTACCCCAAGCAGCCCTCACCAGCTGCACCTACACGGGACCACACTCAAGGCCAAATCTGTAGCTTGCCCACTGTGTTCACCTATGAGAGCCACATGACCCAGTTTTAATCTGTTTGTCATGAAACCTGGGAGTACCAGGTTTCAGCAATTCTATGATTCTATGATTCTACCCCACAGCTCACTAAAGATGAATCTACCTGATACACAGCAGGTCTCAGGGTTCTTTGCAGCCTCCATTTATCCCATCTGCCATTGCAAGAATGTCATAGGACACAAGCATTTGGGTCCCCAGCATTCCTACTGCAAGGGCAGTTGAGATCTGCAGGCAGCTTGAATTCAGATATTTATTCTGGTGGCTTGCAAGGCTGCTACACTTCAAGCCTCAAGACAAAACTGTTGCTGCTTTAGTCGTGTTCTCTCTCCTGTGGCAGAAGGGAGGAAAGGTATCCTTTGGCAAATCTGGTTTTGGTGGCTGGGATAGAGTTAATTTGCTTCCTAGTAGCTGGTACAGTGCTCTGTTTTGGATTTAGGATGAGAATAATGTTGATAACACAGCAATGTTTTAGTTGTTGCTAAGTAGTGCTTACACTAGTCAAGGACTTTTCAGCTCCCCATGCTCTACCGACTGAGAAGGCTGGAGGGGCACAAGAAGCTGGGAGGGGGCACAGCCAGGACAGCTGACCCAAACTGGCCAAAGGGACATTCCATACCATGTGACGTCATGCTCAGTATATAAACTGGGGGGACTTAGCCTGGGGGGTGGTGGTGACCGCTGCTTGGGAACTGGCTGGGCATCGGTCTGCGGGTGGTGGGCAATTGCATTTTGCATCACTTGTTTTGTAGTTTTGTATATTCTTTTAACATTATTATTATTATTATTATTATCCCTTT